CCCTTACGTCAGGATGGAATTTAATGAATATCTCTCGTAGTATTGTCGTCGAACGGCACACCTTGACTCACCGCTGCCCAACTTTGAGAATTTAACCTCGTTGCAATGGTAGATCGATAGACGCCCATAACGGAAGCATATTCTGATTAGTCAGCAGGTTCGCCAACAGTTTCCACACTAAGACGACCAGGTCGTAGTCGACGACTCCTCGACCTCGACGGTCACTCCCTGTGCTCGCTCCAGAACCACGCTTTGCTATTCCCTGAAACTAGTGTTTCGCTGGTAAGTTGACCCCTCTTCCTCGCTTGGATGGGCTTGTGCAGTAGTAACTCAGGCTGTCGTGGCGGTAGAACCTCGTAGTGCTGTAGGCCTTTCTAGGACGCCGGTCACGGACATGTCGCGGGTTGCGCACATCCGGAGAGACATCGCCGCTATTGAGCAACAACTCTGCTCCATTGAAGCCGAAAAGCAACAAGCGCGAGAGGCCCTAGACGTCCTGTCAGCGAAGAGACGCTTATTGGAGGCGCGTCGCACTGCACTCGACGCGCAGGCCACGCCCGTTCACTGGCTCCCATCTGAACTCCTACTCGACATCTTTGTCGCTTTTCTCCAAGCAGATGCGTCCGCACCGGTTACGTTGGAACTTTTGGTGCGCCCTATCACCGTCTCCCTCGTGTGTCGACAGTGGCGATCGCTAGCTCTCTCGACGTCGAGCCTATGGTTCCGCATCCCCGTCCACACTCGACCTATGATACTTTTCTTGAGCCGCTCTCAGGAGACGATGCTGGAACTAGCTTTCTTGCAAACTCCTGTTTTCGACGTCTCATCTTGGGATGCGACCCACTTGTCATTACGCCCTTACGTTCCACGTGTGCGGTCAATCCGATGGCGGATGACAGGCGGCAAGAGCCGTGATATGCTCAACAAGTTGATGACCAGTGATGTGCCGTTGTGCGCATTGCAGGTCATTGACATCTGCGGTCCGGCGCAGCAGAGAAGACTACAGTTCTGGGCAGTCGAACGCTACGTATGGATGAACAACACAACCCTCCCGGCGCTCGAGGAGTTGCGTCTCACTGCAGCCATGGCTCTTTCCAAACCTCCAGTTCGCTTTCCTCGATTGCGTATCCTACAACTCGACCACCGGGATTTGCGGCTCTCAGTGTTATATCAACTGCTTCAATGCACCCCGAACCTCAAAACACTTGTTCTAGTTGATATCGTACCAAGGTTGGATTTCGCTATACGGTCTATACCCGCTCGACTCGGTGACCGCCCTCGAATACAGTGGGCCTGGGCCTCAACCTCACAGCCTCGAATATACCGCGACGTGCCTGTTTTGGCTTGCCTGGAGCACCTTGATTGGAGCTTTGCTCCCCCGCGGATGCTTGGCTCCTTTTCCTTCTCCTCGACACTCCGAATCTGCGATCTCTTGCTCTGTGCCTCAACACTGGCCTGAGTCGATGGCCGCGTTACACGGGCTACGATCCCTCCAACCCCGACCCTGCCATTCAAGACAGCATTCCAGTGTGCCTGTCTTCTCTCCGAGAGCTGGATGTCCAATGTATTGATGACGAAGCGTTACGTTATGTTTTCCACAAACTCCACTTTCCCTCGCTCACGAAACTACACATCACGTATCTGCCGCCCCTCCGTGCGCGGTGCGAGCTTCCACGGCTTCCCCGCCACGAGAGCATGTTCCGCGAGCCTCGGCTTCACACCGTGACGGATCTCAAGCTCTCGCACTTCACTCTCGACATCGACGAGACCAAGACGATGCTGCGATATATGCCCGCTCTCACTCACCTTACTTTCCTGGACTGCCCTCAAGCGGCCGGCGTCGTCTGCGCTCTGTCTGGCGGCACTTGTGACAACCGACACGTGAACCCGCTCAACATCTGGATATGTCCGCGGCTCGAAGTCTTCCGGGTGGTGGACGTTCCCGACCTCAGATTCCGGTGCCTGCGAGGGATGCTCCACGCGCGATTCCATGGTTCCCGGGCACCCGGCTCCTGCCTCACCACTCCGTCGAAGCAGGGGCCTCGCGTGCCGGGATCCTCTTCTCCACGTGTCGTCAAGCCTTTGCGGAGAAGACTTCGGGATGACGACCTCAGTAGCGCCGACGGCTCTACGTCTTCGCCGTCCTCACGCGCGGGCGCTACCATTGGATGGAACCCATATGCCTCCATGCGACCATCGCTGCTCCGCATCGTATGCGTTGAGGGATGTCGCCGAGTCTCTGAGATAGAGGCGATGTCCTTGGGTGACGAATTCCCGTCCCTGAGGGTCAAGTGGGAAGCGTAGCCGAAATGTCCCGCGTTCAGTGAGTCGCCACGATCTCTTCCTTGAGGTTTCGTTACTCAAATATTGCATTGTGCCGCTGCTCTGTGCTTAGACGTGACAACCTCAACCTCAACTATTCCCGTTATTCCTACTGCGATACCTAATTCCCGGATCCTCATAACTCTGAACTGTGTGCGTATTGCACCTCTGATAGTCTATTCGTCCTGGCCTTGCGATACCCGCTACTTCTATGCGGACGCGTTGTTAAACCGTGTCCCCAAATGTCACTTACGATCTCAGACTGCCACTCTGGTATTCTAAATGATGTTGACGACTTGGTACCATGTATACGTGTACGATATATAGTCCGTGGTCACTTCATGAGTCCTATCTCTCCGAAAGCCTGCGCGATGTGGTTCTGATCACACTTTGTTGTCTGGAAAGATGGCGGAGCTAGAAGCTCAACGCCAATTAGATAAGCAAATTCATACCATCAGCATCTGCGCAAGTGCATCCAAACTCCTCCTGGCCTCTTCGTACTACGATCACAACCCCTTTTCAGCACTCTATTTCGGACGTAGCGCCGGACTTGGGCATATACGGTAGCCCGTAGCTGCCCAGCAGCGGTGCGTTCGATCAAGACGTCCAATGCTCGATAACTAATGGCAACCCAAACACAGTTCACAGTCGACTCGTTGCCAATCACGTCGAAGCGACTGCACTGCTCTAGCCAGCCACTGTGGGCTCCTTTGGCATCCTTACATTCTCACTTCAGGACCATCGGTAAGTATGTCAGATCGTCCATCTCTAATCGTTACATGGCTCATCTGAAATATAGGCCTCCAGCTTTGATAAAGCCAGCCTCCAGCTACGCCGTAACTCAACCGACTCTTCCGTGTACAACCACTGCAATCAAGCTGTCGATCTCGAATCATGCCCGGATCTTCGAATGACCTCGCTTCTCTGATTGAGGACGCCGATCACGACAAGCCCGTAGTCCTAGCACTCTCTGAAGAGGCACTCAATGAGGCATTTAGACCGGGATACAAACCCCTCTGTCATGTCGAAGTGTGCAAACTCGCCGACATCGCGCGTTCGGCACTGCGGCTACCCCCCTCCGTCCCCCCAACTGAGGTCCGCATCCTCAATGCTGGTTCCTTCAACAAGGTGTTCATCGTCCGTTTCAACTCAATCGCTACAGTCGCACGGGTTCCATTTGACGTACCGGCCGCGAGGGACCCCATCCGACTCAGGTCGCAGATTGCGACGTTGGACTTCTTGAAGACTCACAAGCCGACTATACCACTACCCAGAGTGCTAGCTGCTGTTGCCGATAGCGACAACCCGTCGCGCGCACCGTACGTCGTTTCGGAATTCTGCCGAGGATCGCCTCTCACGATTCAAGAGTGGTACGTGGACATGTCGGATGCGAGTCGCGACGCCGCGATTGAGCTCCTCGCTGACAACTGGGTCAAGATCGTGACGCCAATCTCGTTCCAGTCAATGGGAAGCATTGTCCGCGACCCTGCGCGACCGTCCGGCTTCTGAGTCATGCCCATGATCTCGCAGTTCCCGGGGCAGGCAACCCCGTTGCTCGATCCGTCTGTGGCAATGCTCGACGGACACAAGAGCCTCGGTGATTACTGGACCCTCACGATGGAAGGGCATCGCCGTCAGATGGTCGACTTCTGACCCGACAACGATCACTCTGTCGTTGGCCTGGACCTCCGTTACGAGAAGTACACTCTAGGGCATCTTTGGCAATGCTACGAGGCCGTCCTGGAACTTGTGCACATCGCCGCGTCTCTAGATCCGCTGGCGGACGCGCCAGCAATGGCACTCATGCACGCAGATTATTCCTTCTGGAAGAACATACTCTTCTCTGCGGATCGTACACGCATAGAAGGCATCATCGATTGGGACGATGCTGTCGTCGTTCCCCGAGATCTTGTCGCCGTATACCCCTACGAGTTGACGGATCAGGCTGGCGTATGGCGCACTGATCCGCCAGACCTAGTTGCTATCCCGCCGGGTACGCTGTTCGAAGATGAGGGTCTGTGGGAAACCGCGATCCAGGAAACACAGCAGAGGAGGACGTTCAGAGAAGTTGTGCGGAAGCAGGATCCTCAGCTGGCGGAGCTATACACAGATCGTCGGGCGAGGTTTGGGAGGCGAGTACATCTTCTGGTCAGTCAAGGATTGGACACTTGGCTATACATCAAAGACTGGATATTAGGTGAAGGTCTGGAGGAGGCGCGTGCATTGCGTGATGATGAAAGGTGACCACCGGCATACTGCTTCGCTCGCCGCAGGGGCATTGAATATGAGAACTGTCTGAAAATAGCCAGGTAACCGAATCACCGCGCCTTTGAGGCGGTTAGGAAGAAGAGCTGTGAAACTCTTCATGTACGTGATGGTCTGATTACTATTACATTGTTACCTTCGATGCGCGTATGGTCCGGAGTATACAGAGGTGCCTCTCTCTAAGTTTCGCATATTTGCCACAGCGGACTAAGCACGAGCCTGGACACCATGGCCCGCAAAGTCGCCGGCTTCGAATTTATCTTTCGGCCGCAGGCAGCCGTACCATCGTTGACGTTCTTCCCTGAAGCTTGGAGCTTGAAGCTTGAAGAGTTGTGCCACCGCGCATATACGTACCTTGCGGGAAGCGAACATTCAGTCAAGCAAACCATTGGCTGCCTTCAGAATGGCAGTAATACAACAATCCACCAGTATATTACATGGACACACTGTACTAGAACATCATAAATCCTGTCGACAACCGAATACGTGTCAAAGCTCGTGACCGTGGACTGCCTCCAGCGCAGAGCGAAGATTCGTCAGAGACAAGTATGCTTTAGTGTGATGAGATGCGACGTACCATCTATCCTACTCGTGGCCTGAGGTCAAACCCTGCGCTCAGCCAATGCACGCGCCTCATCCAAACCCTCGCCCAAGACCCACTTCTGTTTCCACAACCAAGTGCACCAGCCATACATGACCAGGTAGTGAACCCGTCTCCTGAGCCTCGCACGACGGTCGGTGTACAGAGCCGCAAGCTGTGGATCCTGCCTCTGTACCAACTCCCTGAACCTCCGTCTCTGCTGTGTCTCCTGGATCGCAGTGTTCCACAGACCCGTGTCTTCATACAGTGTTCCGGGCGGGATAGCAAACACGTCGTCCGGGTCAGAGCGCCACGAAGCCTCGTGTGTCAACTCCTCGGGATAGACAGCCGCGAGGTCTCGTGGGACGACGACGGCGTCGTCCCAATCGACTATCCCTTCGATGCGCGTGCGGTCCGCCGAGAAGAGAACATTACGCCAGCAAGCGTAATCAGCGTGCATCAGAGCCATGATCGGCTCGCGCCCGTGCGGGGTTGCCAGCGGATCCAAGGAGGCCGCGATAGCTGCGATAGTCTGCACGGCTTTAGCACATTGCCAGAGTTCACCTAGCGAGTGCTCGTTAAAAAGGCCATCCTTGACGATGACCGAGAGGTCATTGTTCGGGTAGCGAGAAGTGATGTTACGGAACTGCTCTTGAATTTTGGAGGCCCAAAAATCCGCTAAATTCATCGGCCCCGTGCGCCGCTCGAACGATGGTTCGAGGACCTCAGTATAACGGTCTGGAAATTGTGGAATCATAGGTATGATGCGAAAGCCACGCCGAGAACCACTAGCGTCTATGCGCCACATGCCATTCACGACACCGGAAGGGTCATGGAGTATGCTTCCGATTGCGTTGAACGGAACCGGCGCCGTGATCTTGACCCAGAGGTCGGCAAGGAGATCGACGACGGCGTCACGACTTGCGCTCGATAGATTGTCGCACCACTCGATATAGGTGATAGGAGTTCCCGTGAGGAATTGGGAAATGACATAAGGCGCACCCGCAGAGTTCGTGCTGCTGTTAGTAACAGCAGCAGCGATGACCCTCGGCACCGCGATATGCGGTCTGTACAGTGCCAAGAAGTCCAGTGTGGCGACCTGAGATTTCAGTCGAATGGGGTCACGCGCCGCAGGTACGTTGAACGGGACTCGTGCGACGACTGCTGTTTGCCCAAAACGAACGAGGAAGACTTTGTTGAAGTGCCCAACGTCGTGTATAAGCACTTCACTGGGAGCGACGGTGGAACGAAGCTGAAGGGCATCGCGGGCCGCAGTCACGAGCTGTCTCACGTCAACGCCGCAGAGGACCTTGTATTTCGGTGCGAAGACCTCATTCAAGGCTTCCTCAGAGAGTATCCGAGGTGTGATGACTGATAGGCAATAATCATCAGCATTATTAGCCGTCTGCCAATGGGTAGACCGTCACCTGGTGACCCGAGCATCGATGGCGGTAGTCGTCGGTTGCAGCGTGTAACGGGTGACGGGTAGGCACTTGCTTGAGGAGCTGACCAAAGGGAATGGGTACGTTCATATCACAACTTGATTATAACTGGCGAGCGACGGCGCCGTGGGATGTGAGTCAGCGTGACGCGAGTGTGATGAGCGCCTGAGTCACTTTAAGGAGATCAAAAAGTGGTCACGGTCACATAGCCTGACATGCGAAACTTACCCGGCTTATAGCTAGCCCAAAAGCCTGTGCGAGGAGGGTATGTTTGTGAGTCTCAGTGTGTACTTCGAGATGAATGCCGTGCTGATGCCTTGTAGTTTACGCGTCTGGCACGGTACTTTAAGTGCAAGCTTATGTCCACTGGCAGCAGCGCCACATGGACTCACGGTCGTTCAACGTTCCATAGTATAGAAGGCTAGCACGGAGTCGACCAGCAATACCGCACAAGAATCTGTCCATCTGCCACGCTCCCCGTTGGTCTCGCAATAAGTGAGTCTCGCTTCTGATGCGACGCTGTCGGAGATATCATTATGGGGCTTCTGTTGTTCTCGGACCGCAGATCCTGACATATACGGTGGCATCGCACCGCTCACTCAGGCTGAATGCGATGTCCGGAGACTATGTTGGCCGCAAACGTCAGAAATGACTGGAGCAAGGAGCGCACTATACTGCGTTGAGGAATGCCATGAGAGCCTTAGCCTGCCATGTGCTTGCGAAGTCTGATGCGGATAGCCGTTTCAGTGATGCTTGTATGCACCTTGTTCTGTGGCATCGGACTTCCGGATAACAACAAGTGTACAGTTCCGTGGGGAGACCCGGACCATACCGTTGGATTTCGCGGCTTGAGGATTCCTCGTGAATAGAACCGGAACAGGAACCATAAATTCATTGCTCGCCGTAGCCCATACGTGGACGGGCTTTCCACCAGGTTACTTTGTTGCTCCTCAGAGACGTTGCCTTGATATCGCGAATTGACTCGCTCAGTCTGCATGCTACGGCAGGCAATTTGCCCATACATCACAGCACTCGCACAAATTCAAGATGTTCACGCATCATGAGGCCGTGGACCTGGTAATTGCACCGAGGTCTTCTAGGCTATGCAGATGAAAACGGTACGTCCGCGCGTTGTGATTCTAGACCAACTTCTGAGCGCGCTGGTCCTAGCATTCCTAGGAGCTTCGGCGTGACTCAGTATACCAGGGCAACATACATGTGCATGTCCAGAATACGCACACAGGAGATGAGGTTCTAACACCTCGTGTATTGCTGGAATCGTGCCGTTCAGTCATATCACACATATTTGGCGATTTTGCACCGGTGTAAGTTCAGATGCATGCACTCGATTTGGAAACATTTGCCTAACATCGACAAGACAGACCAGGGAATCTGAGAAGAGTACCATCTCGGACGCGATCACGGCGCAAGGTGCAGGATGCACATTACGATGACTGTGTCTCCAAAAGAGGTCGTGTTGCTCGTGAACCGATATTGTGCCTCTCCGGAAACGGAACGCATGAGAAGATCTGCTCGGACCATAGTCAGTTCTCATTCGAGGGCGGCAAAGCTTAGCGCATAAAATGGCTCGAAGGGGACTCGAAGTGAGCAGCATCCTCCCCCAGAGTTCAAGTTGACCAGTGCTCCCTACGCATCTCAACCTCCTACGCCGATATATATCCCAATGGTAAGTTCACAGGTACACGGTTGGTCCTGTGATACGACAGACCGACGGTGGATTACTATTCTCTAGGAAACCATCAAGGAAGATCCGAAAGAGTGGCTGAATGTAGTCATTAACGATCCAAAGAAATCACCCGGCTACCCTACCCTGGCCGTAGGTGCCTGGACGAATATCCACGGTCTCGGCACTTCAACGCACAATCCCCCGCTGCGCGTTCAGATCATGCGCACGTCTCAGGGCGATTACAGATTCCGACTCCTTGAAAAGAACAGTCAGAGGATCGTTGCCGGTCCTCTTGTATCGAGCACAGGGGATGCCGACGAGGCTATAAAGGAGCTTCACAATTCCCTCTAAACCACCAGCGCGATGCTTCAGGTATTCGGTGAGCAGGTTCAAGTCGTGTCGTAATCATGCATGCCGTCTGACCATGTTGATAATCTGTCTTTAGACCTGCCTGTGTGCGTTGACAATGGCTGGAGTTCAGACGATGAATAACGTTCGGTGTCCCTTGACTTACTGTAACATACAGATTATGGCTCAGACGGATGTTTGATGATCTACGACAGACTGTAACTACCCCTTGCACAATTATTTTGGAAACACAGATCGTCCTCAGACCCCGGCGTAGCATTGGTCGATGCAGTACAGCACGCACATTAGCCCATTAATTTCTGACCCTTGCAGCTAGTGTAGTCTCCGGGCATCTGAGTTAGCTGTGCCATGCCACTGCCAGCGTACTACTGATGTATCAGATTCCGCTACTTACCCGGATACCGCCGCCGACCTGAACTTGCCAGTGACTCACTTATTGCGAGGCACGGCGGGAAGAGGCCTAATATACTGGCCTATGATATTGGATATTTATTGACATAAATGTTGAACGTTGAACGTTGGACGTTGACTATTTGAATCTTGGGTGCGTATGTTCCCGTCTTTTTGCTTCAGAATGGAATGCAAACAGTATTTATGTGATGTCGTGGTTGTCGTTGAACGGCGCAACTAGGCTTCGCTCGCCGCCGACCGCGGTGCAAAAGGTCGTCCGGCCGGCCTCGAACTTGCATATGGGTCGCGGGCAACCGTGCCATTGTTGCGCCCTGAAGAGTTGACACGTCCGAGTCGCGCACATATTTGATGGCAAGTGTGCACTTAGCCGAGTCAACCGTGGGCTGGATGGAACAACACAGCGGTGACAAATCAATTCGTAGTGTCCTACGTGGACACATCGTAGAACATGATACGCGCTCTCGGTAGCGTTTACCAGCTCGGTAGAACGCATGATGTATGGGTTTCTTGTACGCTCGAAGAGTCAAGACTGCTTGCTGTGCAGAAAGTACTGTAGCGAACCCTACAACCCGGATGTCACGCGTCACAAGCCCGCCGCCCGCCGCGGCGAGGATGTCATGTTACTCGTCACACCCGACCCCGCCGCCGGCGCCAACACTGTCGCTAGGCGCTAGGAGCGGCGCCTGCGGCGGGCACAGCGACAAGACCGCCATCCGGGGGGCGCATCACACGTCACACGCGTCCCCGCCGCTGCGCCGGATCGTGTACAGCCTGTCACACGTCACACCCCCATCCGGGTTGTGGGGTTCGCTACAGTAGTCAGAGACCAGTGTGCTTCAACACGGATATCTGTGACGTACCATCCGTATTAGTAGTCCTTGTGATTAGGTGAAGCTCCGCGTTTACCCAATGCATGGGCCTCATCCGAACCCTCGCCCAAGACCTACTTTCGTTTCCACAGCCAGGCGCACCAGCCTTCGGTGACTAGATAATGAACACGCCTCCTGAGCCTCGCACGACGGTCGGTGTACAGTGCCGCAAGCTGCAGATCTTGTCTCTGTACTGCCTCCCTGAACCTCCGCCTCTGCTGTGTCTCCTGGATCGCAGTTTTCCACAAACCTGTGTTTTCATACAGCGTTCCGGGCGGGATGACAAAGACGTCGTCTGGGTCAGAGCGCCACTTGGCCTGGTGGGTTAACTCTTCGGGATAGACAGCCGCGAGGTCTCGTGGGACGACGACGGCGTCGTCCCAATCGACTATCCCTTCAATACGCGTGCGGTCCGCCGAGAAGAGAACATTACGCCAGCAAGCATAATCAGTGTGCACCAAAGCCAGAATCGGCTCGCGCCCATGCGAGGTCGACAGCGGATCCAGGGAGGCTGCGATGGCTGCGATAGTCTGCACGGCTTTGGCACATTGCCAAAGTTCACCTAGCGAGCACGTGTTTCGAAGGCCATCCTGTACGATGACCGAGAGGTCATCGTTCGGATAGTGAGAAGTGATGTCGCGAAACTGCTCTTGAATTTTGTTGGCCCAATAGTCCGCCAAGCTCCCCGGCCCAGTGCGGTGCTCGAACGATGGTTCGAGGACCTCAGTATGGCGGGTCGGAAGTTGAGGGATCGTGGGTATCACACGAAAGCCATGCCGAGAACCACTGGAGTCCATCCGCCACATGCCGTCTACGACGCAGGATGGGTCATGGAGGATGCTTCCGATTGCGTTGAACGGAACCGGCGCCGTGATCTTGACCCAGAGGTCGGCAAGGAGATCGACGACGGCGTCACGATCTGCGCTCTATAGCTTGTCGCACCATTCAATATAGGTGATAGGAGTTCCCGGGAGGAATTGGGAAATGATATAAGGCGCGCCGGCAGGATTCGTGTTGCTGACGGCAGCAGCGAGGACCCTCGGCACTGGTATATGCGGCCTATACAGCGCCAAGAAGTCTAGTGTGGCGACCTGAGATTTCAGTCGAATGGGGTCACGCGATGCAGGCACGTTGAATGGGACTCGCGCGACGACGGCTGTCTGCCCCGGAAAACGGACGAGGAAGACTTTGTTGAAGTTCCCAGTGTCGTGTATACGCACTTCACTAGGATCGACGGTCGAGTGAAGCTGAAGGGCGTTGCGCGCAGCATTCACGAGCTGGCTCGCATCAACGTTGCAGAGGATCATGTATTTCGGCGAGTAAGCCTCGTTCAGGGCTTCCTCAGAGTGTGTCTGAGGCGTGGTGACTGGGAAGTAATGAACATGAGTAAAGTCACTGACCGTCTGTCATAATGGAGATGATTACCTGGTGGCTCGAGCATTCAGTCTTGACCGATGAAGTTACACGAAGTCAGTGTACTTAGTAGCGTGTAATGGGCGGGTACCTGCTTGAGGAGCGGAACGAGCGGATTGTATGTGTCAAAACCGCCGGCTGCGTCGCGCAGCGGGTTATGTTTGAACTCAGGCCAGCGTACCAATTTGGTACGACATACATGATATACAACGGCTGCTTGAGACACCACGGGTCCTTCAAGTTGAGACAGTCACGGTAGACTTCAGTGGCCTGGAAAAAAAGCTAAAATTTACTCACAACTGTTATAGACCTGCCGAGACCATGCTTGAGTGCTGGCCGCTGCACAGTAAGTGTTATGTCGAGGAGGAGGGAAAACCGTGTTTCACGCGTTTCCAGTCATTACGCGGTTTGCCGCATTCGGCGTCACAGTGACCATAAAAGTCACATTTCCATCACAGATCTAGATTTTGATACGCGTGAACACCCCATCATTCACTGGCACGGTGCCACAACCGGAGTCTTTTTTGTATTCTCCGTGTTTTAGGCCCGTACTGTAGGTACATGTGGGCACAATAGTAAGGGACGTCAGACGCTAACAGACCGTGCTGCGGCATGGGCCCCCAGATCCCGAGGAACCCCATCTCCCTGCGACCTCACCACCCTCCCAGCCCCTGCCACAACTGGAGTCACTGCCTGACTTTGGGCTGACTCGCGGGTCATTCACTTACCTATATCGCATCCAATCCCTTTGTTCCACTCCTCAAACAAGTGCCTATCCGTTGTACGCTACAACTAATGAGTCTACCGCCATCGGTCAGGACTACTAATGCAAACACCAGAGCCGCCAGGTGGGTTAGTAGTCTACCATCACTGTAGACGGACAACACTGCTCATCATTGCATGCTCACTGCCTCCCAGATATCACACCTCAGACACACTCTGAGGAAGCCCTGAATGAGGCCTACTCACCGAAACACAAGGTCCTCTGCAATGTTGACGCGAGCCAGCTCGTGGATGCTGCGCGCAACGCCCTTCAGCTTCACTCGACCGTCGATCCTAGTGAAGTGCGTATACACGACACTGGGAACTTCAACAAAGTCTTCCTCGTCCGTTTTCCGGGGCAGACAGCCGTCGTCGCGCGAGTCCCATTCAACGTGCCTGCATCGCGTGACCCCATTCGACTGAAATCTCAGGTCGCCACACTAGACTTCTTGGCGCTGTATAGGCCGCATATACCAGTGCCGAGGGTCCTCGCTGCTGCCGTCAGCAACACGAATCCTGCCGGCGCGCCTTATATCATTTCCCAATTCCTCCCGGGAACTCCTATCACCTATATTGAATGGTGCGACAAGCTATAGAGCGCAGATCGTGACGCCGTCGTCGATCTCCTTGCCGACCTCTGGGTCAAGATCACGGCGCCGGTTCCGTTCAACGCAATCGGAAGCATCCTCCATGACCCATCCTGCGTCGTAGACGGCATGTGGCGGATGGACTCCAGTGGTTCTCGGCATGGCTTTCGTGTGATACCCACGATCCCTCAACTTCCGACCCGCCATACTGAGGTCCTCGAACCATCGTTCGAGCACCGCACTGGGCCGGGGAGCTTGGCGGACTATTGGGCCAACAAAATTCAAGAGCAGTTTCGCGACATCACTTCTCACTATCCGAACGATGACCTCTCGGTCATCGTACAGGATGGCCTTCGAAACACGTGCTCGCTAGGTGAACTTTGGCAATGTGCCAAAGCCGTGCAGACTGTCGCAGCCATCGCAGCCTCCCTGGATCCGCTGTCGACCTCGCATGGGCGCGAGCCGATTCTGGCTTTGGTGCACACTGATTATGCTTGCTGGCGTAATGTTCTCTTCTCGGCGGACCGCACGCGTATTGAAGGGATAGTCGATTGGGACGACGCCGTCGTCGTCCCACGAGACCTCGCGGCTGTCTATCCCGAGGAGTTGACCCACGAGGCTGCGTGGCGCCCTGACCCGGACGACGTGTTTGCTATCCCGCCCGGAACACTGTATGAAGACAGACTTATGTGGGAGACTGCAATCCAGGAGACGCAGCAGCGGCGGAGGTTCAGGGAGGTGGTACAGAGACAAGACCCAGAGCTTGCGGCGTTGTACACCGACAGTCGTGCGAGGCTCAGGAGACGGATTCATTACCTGGTCATACACGGCTGGTACACTTGGTTGTCGTATGACGACTGGATACTGGGTGAGGGATTGATGGAGGCGAATGCATTGGCTGAACGCAATGCTTGAATACATAGCGGGCCACGAGGGCTACGGATGATGCGCCACATGCCGTTAACTTCGACCTTCCCAGAACGAACTGCACAGCCTGCGCGCATCTGATCCACTGATATCTCGAATTGTGGGAAACAGACTTGGCCTTGGTCATATTTAAAGAAGCGCTGCTAGCCCTCGCTAGGACTGTGATTTCCCAAGTACCTGATGACTGTGTCCTACAAACTTCGCAGCTGATTACCGTATGCCTGGATCATTTGGTGATTAGTTGAGTCCTCTTGTCACGTCGACAGATGCTTAAGTTACCCCTCTACCAGTTTCTGTGCCATCTGAGGCGGTGCTCAACGAGTCCTACATCCCGGGATACGGCAAACTCTGCCATGTCGATGTCTCTGGCCTTGTCGAAATGACGCGCGCCGCTCTCCAGCTATACTCATCCACCGCACCCAGCGAGGTCCGTATCCTTAAAACTGGATCTTTCAACAAGGTGTTCTTCATACAATTCGGCACCATCGCTGTCGTCGCACGCGTCCCTTTCGACGTGCCGGCAGCACGCGATCCCATCCGTCTTGGATCGCAAATCGCGACGTTGGACTTCCTCAGGATTCACAAGCCGACTATACCCATACCCAGAGTTCTCGCTGCTGCGCCCGACAACCAGAATCTGTCGCGCGCGCCGTTTATCATCTCCGAGTTCTGTAGAGGGACGCCTCTCACGATTCAAGAGTGGTACGACGACATGTCGAATGCGAGCCGGGACAGGGCCATCGACCTCCTCGCCGACGCGTGGGTGAAGATCACTGCGCCAGTCTCTCTCAATACGATTGGAAGCATCGTTCAGAATGCGTCGAACCTTCCGCATGGTATGCGGCCCAGCAGAGACGACGCGCAGTCGTCCGGATTCCGTGTCATACCCATGATTCCGCAATTCCCTGACGAATGGACTGGAGTGCTTGACCCGTCCACGGAGAGGCACTCTGGTCCTAGGAGCATTGCCGAACATTGGTCCCCCCTGCTGGAAGCGCAGCGCCACCAAATCGGCATGACGTTCGCAGGCAAAGACCCATCTTTCGTTGTATGGGACGACCGAGTCACTAAGCACACATTGGAGAAGCTCTGGCAATGCTTTCAGGCCATGCAGGAACTCACATGCATCGCTGCATCCCTGGATCCACTGGCACGTACACCGGCGATGGCATTAATGCACTCTGACTACTCGTGTTGGAAGAACATACTCTTCTCAGCGGACCGTAGGAGCATAGAGGGCATCGTCGATTGGGACGATGCCGTTGTCCTTCCTCGCGATCTTACGGCCATATACCCCGACGAGATGACGGATCAGGCTGGCGAATGGCGGTCGGATCCGCCAGACGTATTTTCTATCCCACCGGGTACGCTATACGAAGACGAGGGTTCGTGGGAGACGGCGATTCAGGAAACACAGCAGAGGCGAACGTTCAGAGAGGCTGTGGGGAGGCGGGATCCTCAGCTGGAGGCGCTATACACGGATCGACGGGCGAAGCTCCGGAGAAGAGTGCATTATCTTGTTCGTTATGGGTGGTACACTTGGTTATCGAACGACCGCTGGGTATTGAGCGAGGGTCTGGAGGAAGCGCGTGCGCTAGCTAGAGGTAGAAAGTGAACATATCCCCTTAGCTTCACGAGCATGTGCATCTATGATAGACATCTCTGTTCTTACGCACACCCTATGAAGCTCGAGCTCTGGGCACTTACCTACCAAATACTGTTTCCAATCATAATTGCTGTCGTGCGATTCCAGACATATCGAGGACCACAAAGCCATATGCGCCGTAATGCAATGACTCTGCGATGCATTCGGCATTGTGCATGATCATGAGTTCTTTGCCGACTTCGAGAATGTATTTATGGCCATCCCGTTCACGTTCGCAATTGCCGTCGCGTCCCTCCACGTTCGTGACAACCGAGGAGCTTGCCTGAGATGATCGAAGCTTGATACTGGGACGCAGTAACTTGGGTCGTGGTACTCACATTCTCATGCCCCACCATGATTGCGTCGAACGATAGGAGTGAATCAAGTCAATCAAATGAAACGCGGCAGAAGGTGAACAGGAAAGCTTACTGGTCATGCTCTTGTGTGATGCGCGGTTCTGGTCCGACGCGATGCTTCGACAATGTATTTGTGGTCTTTCCGTTCACATCCGCAGTTGCCGTCGCATCCTTCCAAGTTTCGCGACGACCGAGGAGCTTGACTGAGAGACCATCGATATCCGATGTCTACAAAAATACGCCAATTCAGTCCCTAGTACTCACATTCGTATGCCCCAACGTGCACTGCGTCGAACGATGAGAAGCTGTCAGGGAGTCAAGCAAATGGGACACGGTATCAAGCATCATACCCCAGATTGCATCCGACAGTGTCATACAAGCTCGCATTGAAGTCCTTCGCCGCTGCACGTTTAGAAGCAGCATGGACGTGGCTCAGAGCACGAGTGCATCCCAGGGCTGCACGAGTGAACGGAGCT